ATGGAATCCTTCACTATAGAATCAGGTAAAAACTTCCTCGACATAGTTTCCAGAACTTTCCAGAGATAATTGACAGATGCAGAGCAAACGAATTTAGCCTTGCTAAATCCAACATAAAAGTGAGTTCCACGTCCGTTGCAGAAAAACTCAAGGACCGGCGTGCATTTTGCAAAGCATATGGACATGTTCGAGCTGTTTGCAAAAAATTTAAAGCCAAGTCTGTTGAGAAAGTCTCGTCCACAACTTCTGCCCTTATAGTCCGATCCAGTAATCCGTCCTCCACAAATGTATACCTAACATGTTATGGTTACGGTAATCCAGGATATATTCGTTCCAATTGTCCCCAATATAATCCTGCACCAACAACCATTTCCTCTGTCGAAATGCTCGCTGCTGATCTCGGTGAACCTTCCAGTTTGTTATCAATGTTTGATGGTCCGCCTTTAAGATCCATGATACCTGTTATCATTTAAAGTAAATCAGGTTTTGCTTTTGTGGATTCCGGAGCAAGATGCAGTATTGCAGGTTCAAAGTTGTTAAGCCACTTAGATGCTATTCGGCATCCATTCAAAACTGCTCCAATAAAACTGGTATTTGCTGATGGTATACCCCGAGAAGTTGAAGCAAAGATGTACCAGTGTTCCATCGAAGTTATGAAGTTTGTCAAAAGCTTAACAAACTTCTTGCCAGCGATATCATTGAAGAAAGCGAATCGCTGTACGCATTTCCAGTCGTCCTTGTACCAAAGAAAGACGGAACTTCACGTCTTTGTGTTGATTATCGCCGACTGAATGCTGTCACCAAAAATATTCGTTACCCGTTGTCTCGTATAGATGACCTTATCCATTCAACTGGAAAAGCTAAATACATAACCACCTTAGACCTGAAGAGTGGTTATCATCAAGTACCTGTTAGAGAAGAAAATCGTGATAAAACTGCCTTTGTCACGTCATTTGGACTTTATCGATATAAGACAGTGCCTTTTGGTCTATCTACAGCTCCAGCAACGTTTCAAAAGTTAATAAACCGTTTTTGTTCAGGTTTGCCGCATATCCAGATGTTAGGATACCTTGATGACTTAATAATTTCATCCACAACTTTTGAACAACACATCAAAGACTTGAGTGATGTTTTCAACCGTCTATGCATTTACAAGTTGAAGGTGAACAAGAAGAAATACACTTTCTGTACTTCAGAAGTTAAATATGTTGGTCATCTAATTGGACGAGATGGTATCAAAACCGATTCGGAAAAGGTTGCCGCTATCACTCATCTTGCCGCACCCAAGAACGTGAAACAAGTTCTCAGTTTTCTTCAGACTTGTTCATGGTTCCGTAAATTCATTCCAAACTTTCCATTGTTTCCAGACCGCTAAGTAACTTGACAAGGAAGAATGTTTAGTGGTCGTGGAATTTGGCACAACAAGAATCGTTCGGGAAGCTGAAAGTTTTCCTGACTATAGTAGCTATTCTGCGTCAAGCCGATCCTTCTAAGTCATACATTATTAAGACTGATGCCAGTGCCTATGCTATTGGTGCATGTTTGCTCCAGGGGGAGGGGACCCGACGAAAGACCGGTAGAGTACGCAAGTCGTTTACTTATTGCGGCCGAGAAGAACTATAGCTGTACTGCGGATACATAGAGGGTTCACCAGTTTATGTCAACGATCATCAACATCTCCGATGGCTTATGACATTAAAATTACCATTGACCATTGACTACATATCAGGACGTACGAATATCGTCGCAGATACATTATCAAGACCACCCATTGACTCCGATAATAATGACCATTGATTTATAGCTGTCGACACAGTTACTATTTTGCTACATAATAAGTCGGCTGCAGAGACCAGAACCCAGCAATTAGATGATCTATACACTAGGACTATTATCGACTGTTTCGAGAATGCTGAATCTGATACTATCGACTTTGCCAGATGGACCAATCGAGGCTAGGTACCTTATGGTTCCGGGGATTTTACACCGATACGCCAGTGACTCCGATTCTGACGAAGCCCAATTAGTTGTCCCTCAAGATCGAGTAGGGTCTATACTTCATGAATTCCATAATTCTCCACTTGCAGGACACTACGGCGTCGACAACGAATCTCACAAAGGTTTTACTGGCCGACAATGAGAAAAGACATTACTGAACACATGCGAAAATGCATAGAATATCAGATATACAAACCAACGAATCTTAAGCCTTTTGGCTTGACTCAGACTGCTGTTTTGGCTCAGCGATTTGAAATCTTAGCTACGGATTGATTTGAACCACTGCCTGGAGCAGAAACAGGTGCGAGGTGAGTTTTCGCTATAGAAGATATTGTCAACAAATGGATAGAGTTATTCGCACTGGGAAATGCTACAGCTGAAGCTTGTGCGAAATGCCTTATCGATGAAGTTATTCTCAGATATGGAGCTGTAAATCAACATCTAGCAATTACCAAGATTCCGATTCCAGCTTTCCATGGAGGATAAGAGAATTGGTCCACATTTTACGATATTTTTAGAAGAGTAATCCATGAGAGTCACGTGCTGACTAAAGCCGAAAAAATGCAATATTTGAAAACGCACGTACGAGGATATGAGCAAACTGATCCAACATCTAGAAGCAATCAAAGTTGACCAGCTACTCAAAATGCTTGTCGATTTTCTTCAAACATTTTAATTCCTAACCAAATTTTGACCTTCACCTTTGATAAAGGTTCCACCTTTGATCCACTTAGCACATTTCTATGACCTGAGCAAGGCTTTGTGTCTCGTGTGATGTCCTACTGATGAAGAAATTAAAGTTCTACAATTTTTCAGAGGGCGCCATACTGTAATCCTATCTGAGTAAACGCACGCAAATGGTAAGGTTGGGGGGAGTGTCGTCTTTTAAGGGTTTCTTAAGGGTAGGTGTACCCCAGGGCTCCGTTTTAGGACCTATTCTTTTCCCGTCTTTTTAAATGACCTGCCAATGAGTGAACTAACCAGATCTTGCAAATGGCACTACTCTCACTATTCAAGATAATGATCTACGTGCCTTGGAGTGGAGGTCGCGTGAGGTACGACTGGAGGCCGAAAGTTGGTTTAACGCCAATAGGCTTATGCTAAATGGGGATAAAACTCAAACAATGCTGTTTTCAATGCTAGATATACAGGATTTCACAAATCCACTTGAGTCCTTATTCTTGAAATAGGGGAACAGCATTCCCAGGAGAACGAGGGTTCCGTCATTGTTAGTTACATTATCATTTTCATATCATTGACATTGAGAAAGACAGAACACTAGTTCTCCTGGGAACGCTACTCCCCTATTTCAAGAATAAGGACCCTGAAGTGAAGTTTTCGGGAGTATATCTCACATGGGATGTGCATACGGATAATATGTCAGGAAGGCTGAGGAGTAGTGTTTTCTTGCTGAGTAATCTTTGTGACTGTGTATTTCAGGACACAGTGCTGAGTGCTCATTATGGCATGTTTCACTCTATGATGACATATGGGGTGGACCCCCTTCTGCAGCCCGAATCTTTGGGATGCAACGTAAGGCTGTTAGAATTTTGGCGGGTGTGATATTTAGGGATGACTGTAGGCCTGCGTTTTTGGAACTCAACATACCGACTCTTATCTTTGATTTTCTATTCTGGAGAAGCGGCAGAATGTATTATCACGAATTATACATAAAAATTCAAGTTCATTACAATTTCAATCTTTACTAAATCTAATTAGGGTCAAGTTTATTATAACATCAAACAAGAAAACTAGATTATAAGCATACGATATTTTGAGGAATATCAGGATAGTAATAATAATAGGTATCGATTTATTATAAAAGAAGATGTATCAAACTCAATAAATCAGATTCAACCAGTGTACGGCGTCTGCCAATACTGTATTCGAGCCTCCTTGGCCATAGCAGAGAGTGACAGTGAAATATCCCAAAAAATCCTTATACTGTCCCGCTGCTTAATTCAAGCCGTAATTGAACAAGTGAATAATCTTCAGGCACACTGCCTGGACAACTTTTTTACATTTAAAATACATTTTACCTTATTGTGACTTGAAAAAAACTTATATTATCAAATAAAGTAGTAAATTTCTATCTTAAATTGTATGTAAGTAGCTCAGCTGTGTTTACTGAGCAAAACTATAAGACTTCCAAAAAGTTAAAATCAGTATTCGATACTTTTTGAAACATTTGACTGAAATAATAATTCACTGTATTTCAGTAAGTAAAAAGACATCTGGCAACAACGAAAACGCATTTTTTTAAGCACTTAATTCCCAAAAATTGCACGTTTTTTCTAATTTAATTATTGAATGAATTCGAAAATTATTATTGAAGTTCAATAATAACTTACCTACTCAATTTTCCAAATTGATTTCATGTTTTTTAATAAATTTAGTTTGTAAATTCAAAAAAGAAAAGTATATACTGCAGTTCATTTTTAATTCATTGAAAAATATGGAAGTCAGTGTTTAAAATCAATATCAGTCCTTATTTACCAATGTTACTTGTAGAATAATTATTGAACAATTTTAAATAAAAACCCACACAAAAGAAAAACTAAAAACACCACAAAGCTAAAACAGACACGTAAAACCCTTCAAAAAAACCATAAACTTACATATTCGAAGGTTCCAATTCCACTATAGAGAAAACGATATAGAACTAAACCCAAATAACAAAAAACCCAAGAAAAAAACTAAAAAACCACCACCGCACCAAAAACAAAAAGCGATTTTCCCGTTTTTCCCCGTCAGCTGAAAGACGCCATTGCCGACGTCGAGCGGCGTCGAGACGAAAAATAATCAATAAAAGTGGCGTAGAAATTGTCGCTCATAGCAACCCTACATCCCTTTAGAACACATATAGGGGGATGTTTTAAAGAGAAGGGCGATTTTTTTTTTTATCAGTTTCATTATGTTTGGCTGAATCCCTATAGGGAGAGCACCCTTTAATTATTATTTTTTTGTATAGTCAAATATTTATTTTCCGATGAAAGTCTTACCTTATCTTCGGCTTCCTCCGCCCTGCCTTCCGCTTCCAATACTCTTTGTTCCAACTCGGATAGCTGGAAAAGAAAAATAGAAAATTTTAAACAAAGTCATCATATATCCAAAACTTCAAATTATATAGAGCAGGAGTTGATTTTAAATACAGAAATTGCCATTTAGGCAAATGAGACTATATCTTATAAGGGCCTCAAAGAAAACTTATCATCTTTATCTTTATTAATTTCCAAATCAAATTTTCCCTCCTGTAGCATATCAGAATCGATAGATGTTTATAGAGCAACTGACAGCGACCTCTATGCAGTCGGAGCCTAAATAAGTGAAGCCTGGAAATTCCTGGATTCGCAACAGGATGACGCTACGGAGCTAGAATTTCTGGATTTGAATTTAATAGCTGTTGGAGTTTTGGTAAAGTTAATCTCAAATTGATTTTTAACAATTTATTAGTCCCTCCAGGGCAATGAACACTATACCTGTCATTTATTAAAGAAAAGTCTAATTCAACAAGGCCGTCCTCTATTTAGAGAGATACATGAACCTATGAATGTGGTTATAGTTATTTATTAAACCATCCTCAGGGTTGTTTCTAACAAAGTTTGAGTCAACTTTTGTCAAGACGAAACCAGCTAAAATAAGAGAAAAATGTCCATTATTACTCTAAACATCTCTGATCTCTAAAATCAGATTTCCAATAAACAACTAACTTAGAATTAAGTTTTATATTAGGTACTTAATTACAACTAGCCAAATAAATTACTGTGTACAAATAAATATACAATAGGAAGTCCAACAATAATCCTTTAATCCTTTCAAAATTTATTATTCTGGACAATCCAATCCAGTTAGTTAGCGGATATCTGCAATAATATACGTGTGTAACGTCCTCTACCTAATCTTAAGCCTGATTTATTATTTCCGACGATAAAGTTCAAGTAGGTTTTATAGTAAAACGTAAAACGTAAATATAAACGTCTCTGAGGGCAAATCGAGAATGAAAGTCTAACCGTTAAAGATACTTTATCGCTTTTGCACCGTAAAACTAGGATTTTCGAATTTGCTCAGGGCGCAGACAGCAGTTTTATTAGCCCTTTTGGATTTTTATTGTCAATAATAATTATTGTCTGGTGAAAATTGGATCAGTATTTTCTCTTATGAACCTTTAAACCTGAAAATAATTGAGTTTCTAGAGGCAATCATGATATAGGTAGTTGTAGTTCAAATATTAAAGATCAGTTTATCAATGTTTTTTGTTGAAAGTAACCAAATTGGCCCACTCTGTTGGAAGAAGTCTAAGGAAAGTTAGTGTAAGGAGTTTGGGTTTGCGATTTAGATTTTGGAAAACTTTGAGAGGCCATAACTTCCTCTACAGGATTACAATCACTGACAATTTGAGCTTATAGTTCCTGAGATAAAATCGTGTTAAGCAATTTGGGGTTATTTAACATTTTTCTGAGTGCCTTTTTTCATAGAATCCGGTTTCAAATCTGAGAATAATTTAGTAGGCCTTGTAATGTAATGTCATTTACCAGTTTTGACGGCCAAGTGTTTTTATCCAGCTTTTCCTTGAATTTTCCGGTTTTTCAAGGATTTTTCAATCAGAAAACTTTTGTTTAAAGTACGAGGCTTTGAGTTTCCTTCATTTTCTAACAAAAATTTCCAATTTTCCAACGAGGTAAGTAACCAGAACCTTGGTTTGATCAACAGAATGTTTGTTTTCCATTGAATTTTCTACTCTTCCAAGGCTTCTTTAATCGGAGAAAGACCGTTTTGAGTGCGGGGTTTTAAATTTGCTACAATTTTTCAGGAAAAAATTTCCATTTTTAGACTAAAATAGTATCCTACTTTATCTCTCTCTTTATCTTACTCACTATCAAATTATTAGTCGGCCATTTTGAAGTGTCGTGTTTACATTTTTATCCAGGTTTTCCTCGAATTTTCCACTTTTCCAGGGTTTTTTTAGTTGAAAAAACTGGTTTTAAGTACGAGGCTTCGAGTTTTCTCTATTTTGTGCTAGAAAAGGTAAGTGAGAAAAAATTATTGAAAAGCAAGTTTTTGAGGCCTTATTCAAGGAATTTTTAATTTTAAAATCGTTATTAATTAATTATTTAACGGGTTTTTAATTCTTAAATTACAAGTAGAATCCCATTTTAAATGATTTGTTTTGGAAGTTTTGTGATGTGGCAACACCGCTTGTAGCCAACTTCAAGTAGACCTTGTAATAAATGTCATTTGCCATTTTTGACAGTCGTGCCATTTTCAATTGACGAGTTTACATTTTTATCTAGTTTTTCCTCGAATCTTCCGCTTTTCCAGGCCGTTTTCAATCGGAAAAACTGTTTCGACGCTTTGAGTTTTCTCCATTTCCACCAAAAATTTCCAGTTTTCCAATGGAGTAAGTGACCAAAACTTTGATTTTTCAAGTAGGTTTTGGAATGTTGGTTTTCAATTGAATTTTCTCCTTTTGCAGGGATTTTTCAATTAGAAAAAGATGATTTTAAAGGCGGGGCTTTGAATTTGCTTCATTTTTCCACCAAAAACTTCCAATTTTAGACTTAAATTGTTTCCTACTCTATCTCCCTCTTTGTCTTATTTACTATTAAGCCGGCCTTGGAATGTCATTTTTATTGAAATTTATGAAAGATAAAATTCCAATGCATAGTTTTCGGAATTTATCATTTCATAAACATTAATAATTAATTATTTAAACAAAAAACTATTTAAAATATAATTTTTTCCTATTAGAGATGAGGCAACGTCGCACAATGTTATTTCCCAGTTTTCACAGTCGGTCATTTTTGAATGTTTTTATTCAGTTTTTCCTCGAATTTTCCGCTTTTCCATGCCGTTTTCAATTGGGAAAACCGATTGATAAGACGATACTTTAAATTTTCTTAATCTTTTGCCAAAAATTTCCAGTTTTCCAATGGGGTAAGTGACAAAAACTCAAGTTTTATAAAGTAGACTCTGAAATGTCATTTTTACAGGATTTTTTTTGGATTTTCCGCTTTTTCAGTGCTTTTTTGATCGGGAAAACCGATTTTAAGTACGAGGCTTCAAATTTTCTTCATTTTCATCCAAAAATTTCTAGTTTTAAATACTACAATTAGGGGTAGGTAAAGTTTTTCTGCCTCTTTTAAAAAAAGTGAGCACTTGAATTACACCCTATTTTATCTCTTTCCTTGTCCTACTCAGAGGGTGTTAGAGCTACTTTGCACTTAAAAAACCCTAAATTTAGCAGAAAAAAACAGGGCTCCGAATAAAAAAAAAGGGGCTCTCAAAACAAAAAACAAACAAACACCATTTTGAATTAATTGTCAAAAATTACAAGGCCTACTTTGACTTTGACATATCAAATTTTTTGACGTTTGCGTCAGGATTGCTGCAATTTTTGTGCCAGGGTGTCACAGTTCGTGAAATCGCAACTCACCTCTAGTACCTACCTTATGATTTAGATTTTGGAAAACTTTGAAAGGTCATAACTTTTTTTATATTATAGATAGAAAGCTGAAACTTTCACATGTTAAGCAATTTGGGGTGATTTATCAATTTTTAAATTTTTCTGAGTGCCTTTTTTCATAGATTTCGGCTTCAAATCTGAGAATAATTTAGTGTATGGAGTTTGGGGTATGTTGATTAACCATTAGGATACAAAATCTCGACAAAAAAATATTTGAAATTTCATCGTTTTAGTAAGAAGGTACCTACCTTATGATTCAGATTTTAGAAAACTTTGAAAGGTCATGACTTTTTTTCTATTATAGATAGAAAGCTGAAACTATCACTGAATCTTATCCCAATCAAGGGACTACAACCCCTGAAAATTTCAGCTCATTTGCACTTATAGTTCCTGAGATAAAATCATGTCAAGCAATTTGGGGTGATTTATCAATTTTTAAATTTTTCTGAGTGCCTTTTTTCATAGATTTCGGCTTCAAATCTGAGAATAATTTAGTGTATGGAGTTTGGGGTATGTTGATTAACCATTAGGATACAAAATCTCGACAAAAAAAAATTTGAAATTTCATCGTTTTAGTACCTTATGATTCAGATTTTAGAAAACTTTGAAAGGTCATTACTTTTTTTCTATTATAGATAGAAAGCTGAAACTTTCACTGAATTTTATCCCAATCAAGGGACTACAACCCCTGAAAATTTCAGCTTATTTGCACTTATAGTTCCTGAGATAAAATCGTGTTTATAGATTGAGTGTTTATCAGAAGATGAAAAAACCAAAACCAGGCCTTAATAGCATATCTATTTTTTAGGAAAATATAAAAGCAATGTTTCAACATAGGGGAAGAAATAATTATTAGGCCCAGACAACATTTATTCATACAGGATTGCCGTTATGTATATGGAAACGATCTAATATTTCAGAACAAGCTTTAGAAAAATGTAAAATATTTCTTACCTGGGTCCTTATTTTCGAGACAGGGGAGCAGATTCTGTCTTCGTTACCCATATTTATATTTTCATAACACTAACAAAGACAGAGCAATCCTTCTCATGAGAACACTATTCCTCGGTTTCGAGAATAAGGGCCCAAAAAAAAACCAACTGAAAAATCATGAGCCCGGAGAAGGAGGGCGAGGGTTTTTTTTCGGATTTTTTCAATAAGCAAGAGAATAATTATTGTTATGTTAATTTTATAATAAGGACAGCGACATAGGAAATTCAATGAATAAGAGTGAGACATAAATATAGTGGGAAACATCAATTTCGATTTTTCCTAGTGGTTGAATGGACTTGTTATTGATGATAAAAAGCATGGTATCAGGTATTACGAAGAAAAAGACAACGATTTTAGAAATTGAATGAGCAAAAGAGGGAAACAGACAAAGTAGGATGTGAAGTTATATGTTATTGTGGAAAAACATTGTTTTCATATTTGTATGGTTAAAATTTAACAAACCATCATAAGAAACAGACGACAAAACTATGTAAAATTATTATTTCATTATCAAACAATGTAGGTTGTTGCCCACAAGGCAATCCTTTCCAAACAATCTCGTTTTCAAAATCCCATTTATTTTCCAAAAGTCCAAAATAGATGGGGTCT